CTCCTCAGAATGCTTCCCCTCAAGAGAAACACCAAAGAAAGGAATAGACTCAACAAATGTGACATCCCTAGAGACAAAACGGGTGCCATGAACTGGATCGAAACAACAATACCCCTTCTGTATGGAGGCATATCCTAAGAAGACACACTTATGTGCCTTAGGCTCACATTTATGTCTCTGATGATTATGAACATGTACATAGCAGGTGCACCCAAAAACTTGGAGAGGAAGAGAAAAGAGATCCTCATCTAGAAAGAGAAGGCTAAATGGGGTTTTGAAACCCATAACCCAAAAGGCATACGGTTAATCAAATATGTGGCAGTAAAATAGCATCTCCCCAAATTTTGATAGGAACTTGTGATGCAAACAGGAGGCATCTAACAACCTCAACTACATGGCGGTTCTTCCTTTCCACCACTCCATTCTGTTGTGGAGTGTAGGAACAAGAACTCTGATGAATAACCCCAAAAGGTCTCAAAGTATGATGAATGGTTCTTCTCAAAATATTCCTTAGCATTATCAAAGCAGAATATTTTGATCCGGGTGTTAAACTGAGTAAGAATAAGTTCATGAAACTTTTACACAGTGGTTGAAACTTCATCCCAGGATTTCATGAGTTTAAAGCAAGTATAACAAGAATAATCATTAATAAAGAGAATAAAATGCTTGTAACCCCCAATAGCAGGTAGATGATATGGCCCCCACACATCATAGTGCACAATATGAAAAGGAGAAATAGATTTTTTATTGCTTACTGAATAAGAATGTCTACAATGCTTTGCAAGTTCACATGACTCACAATGAAGACTCGATAAAGTCATTCCCTTAAACATATCAGGAAACAAATGACTCAAAGCAAAAAAAAAGGTAAATGACATAACATGACTCTATCAAAAGACTCTGATAAAACAGACTCCAAGGCTACTCCATTAAGTGGTCCAAGACTCCTATCAGGTGTGTCCAACAAGTATATTCCATTTACCTCATGGCCACTCCCAATCGTCCTCTGAGATGTTAGGTCCTAAAAAACACAATGGGTAGGAAAAAAGGTTATGCTACAGTTCATGGATTTAGTCAAGCTACTAACAGATAAAAGGTTGATATTAAGTTTGGGGACATAAAGAACAAAGGATAAGACAAGGGTACTAGAGGCCTTGAAATCCCTTTTACCAGAGATGGGAGCAAGAGACCCATTAGCAAGGAATATCTTCTCTTTACCAGAGAGGAGTTTATATGAACAAAAGAGGTTTATAAACTGGTCATATGGTCTGATGCACCAGAATCAATAACCCAAGGGATTTTATGATTACTTGAAATAGTAGCATGATTTGCATAAGCACGTGTACCTGAGTGAGCAAATGCGGATGATGAGGTGTTACTGGAAGGGTTGGATGCTAAGATAGTGGTTTCCAAGTGATTCAGTAACCTCCCATACTTTTCAAACTCCACCTTTACAATTGCTAGCTACTCCATAGCAAATTTTTCTTCACTTTCTCTATTCCCTCCTTCAGGCATTATGGTAACATTAGCATTCTTAGGCTTTCCAGTCTGACCATTCTTCTTAAAATTACTGTTATTGTTGTTATCCTAAAACCTGTCCAGGAGAAGACCTAGATGAAGTTTCCAACAAGTGTCCTTAGTATGCCTTGGTCTCTTGCTGTATTCACACATCACTTCCTTCTTCTTAGTCAGACCCTTTGGCTTTATTCTAGCATGTGCAAAGTGTTCTGTAGGCGGACCCTGTAACTGTACCTACCGCCTGTTTTCCTCACTGCTTACCATAGCATATGCCTAAGCAAGAATGACCTCATCCTTGGCCAGAATATTTTGCCTAGTAATGTCGAACTCCATTTTGAGTCTTGTAAGAAACTCAAACACCCTGTTTCGTTCCACGAATTTTCTGAATGTCTCTACATCCTTGGTGCTCTCCCATACCATTGTTTCCATAACATCAATCTCATGCCATAGTGACTTCAACATTGAGTAGTAAACAACTACACTCTTCTCTCCCTGTTTCAGATTTTTCACATCATTCTTTAGCTTGTAGGCCCTTGCAACATTCAATTTCTGAGAACATAGTTTTCAAATCTCCTTAGCTGAAATCATCCAGAGATAATGTTGACTTATGTGAGGCTACATAGAACATAGTTTTCACGGCACCAAGGCGAACCTAGGCGACAGGGGAGCGCTTAGTTTCCTGGTCGCCTAGGCGTCGCTTAATGTCTAAAAGAAAAATAAAATAAAAAGGGGATAAACCCCTATTTTTGCCATTGAAATAGAAATACAAAAGGGCAAAGCCCCTGCTTTTGTTCCAAAATAAGAAAAAGAAGGGGCAGAGCCCCTGTTTTTTGTTCTAGAAGAAGAAGAAGAAGGAGGAGGAGGAGGAGGAGGAGGAGGAAAGAAGAAGGGGCGGAGCCCTTGTTTTTGTTCCAAACTTCCAAAACAAGAAAAAGAAGAAGGGGCAGAGCCCCTGTTTTTTGTTAAGAAGAATGAAAAGCATACCTTCTATGATCAATTTCCCTTTCTTCTTCAAAGGCATACAACTTGGAACTTGATGAGGATATCTCTTGAACTCGTCTTTGAATATCATATCTATATCTCTCAAAACTCATCTTTGGATATTTTATCTATCATAAACCTTAAAAAGATAAGAGATTAATAAAAAAATTATTATAATATGAAAGAAATAAAAATAATGATTCAGTGCATCATGTCTTTATTTATATTATAGACTTAAAATATAAAAAAATATTAAATATGAAAAAATTACAACATGTTAAAGATACATCATATGGCATTTGGGCGAGGCGAGACCCAAAAAGCGCCCACACACCTAGGCAATGCCTAGGCGCCCGCCTTGGGTCGCCTTGACAACTATGGCATAGAATTGACTAACCATTCAATCATTGTATAGTTCTCCTGCATCCACTTCTCATATGTAGGATCAGTTTCTATTGCTTTCTCCTTACTGCCCGTGAGAAACCCCAGTTTACCTCCACTACAGACATAAATCTTTATATATTGTGCCCAGGCCAAATAATTCGTTCCATTCAATTTGATTGTAGTCACTCCTATCAAAAGGGAATCTACTGGACTAACCCCCGACACCGGGATCTGCTTTATCTCACTTCCAAATTGCTCCATTGACCAAACAAAAATAAAAAAACAAGGGTTTTAATCTTTATAAACCTAACTGAGGTCAGTTCAACACCTAAAGGTCCCAAAACTAGGGTTTCACTACACCCGATTCCTGGGGAGAAAGAGAGAAGAAGTAGTTGCTCCTACTAGAGCTTCCCAAACCTCTTCCAACTGCAATCGCCCACTTCTGGAGATCAAAAGGAGCCATCCAAGCCTTGAGCGCCACACCCAAACAGTCTCTTTAACCTGTAACTGGAAACTCTCTAGTCGGCTAGGGTTTTGGGCAAAAATCAACAGCCCGATTCTAACTCTCCAAACCCTCTACCAACTAGGAAAAAATGTTCTTTGAAGAAGAAGGGGGAAGGAGTTTGATCATCTCCTCTCACCCCTCACTAATTCTTTTATTAATCTTCATTAACTAGATTAATTGCAAGTCTGCCCTTAAGTGGGCGGCCAGCTATGCAAGAACTTTAAAAGAACTTATGAAAGAGGTTAACAGGCCCATTAACATACAGAATAAATAACATACTACTTAAAACATAAAAACAGATACTAGGGCCCATTTGGCCCAGTCTCTCTACACCCCCTTCATTTCGTTAACTCTTGCACATACATTAAAACCCCCACCTAAAAACCAAGACCCAGCGCTGCATCATGAGCCCCCTCCAACTCCTCCCAAACCTCGGTCCTACCTCCACCATTTGGCCCATAAACATTTGAAACCAATACCATCCCTTTAGTTTCCCAATGATCCAACACCATTGACACCAAGTAAAGACCCTTGAAATAACCAACCTTTGTCTACACCTCTAAATCCTACAAAATTAATAATCCTCCCAATAATCCCTCTGATTCATACCCAACCCATCCATCATTACTTGATCCCTATAAATCTACAATGACAAAAGAATCCAAAACCTCCAACTTTATTTCTTGCAGCAATAACAAACCCACCCTATTATCCCCCACCAAGTTCCTAACTACCTCCCTTCTTCTGAAATCTCTCAATCCCCTCACATTTCAAGAGATAATTATCAACATTTTTGCTTGTTTCTTTCTTTTTCTTTTTCTCTTTTTCTTCTTTTTTTTACCTAAATGGAACTATCAGCATCATCAGTCACTGGCATCTTGAATCTTCCTTCTAATTCCTCAAACATTTGCCTACAAAAATGTCACCTGCACATTTAATCCCAACGCCTTACTGGCTTCTACTTTGGTATCAATAACCTTGTCCAAATCAATAGTTTTATTAACAGAGTGAGTTTAGTTGACACCAATCTCCTCTTCACTTACTTCACTTGAATCATCCTCATCCTTAGACTCAATATCCACCACCGCCTTGTCTTTTTTTTTTCTATTAGAGGCCTGGGATGATACCTTCTTTTCTTATTATAAACCTTGGGCCTGAATGTTTGTTGCGATTTTCTTTTACTCCCATCATCCCCTTTCTTCCTCATTCCTTTCATCTTCCCCACTGCTGTTCCTGTTCTTCTCAATGCCTCTTCCTCCTTATTTTCCTAAATCAAGTACTCCCCTTTGATTATTTCCATTTCCTTTGAAGCTCACTACTTCACTGACACCACACTCCACACCTTCATCAAACCCTTCTCAGTTTTGCTCATGTATTAATTCAAAATCATTTCTAATCCCACTTGCCCCCTCCTCCCACCACACCACCCTTTCCACCTTTGGCAGTTTTCCTTCCCATTTGGTTTAATTCTAAATATTGAAACTTTTATCCTAGTATTAGGAAAACTAAAAACTTCACTAGGTAATCTAACATGGAGAAAAATGAGAAGATAAATACAGGAAACTCACTCGAATAAGGAACAAGTAAAAACAAATGAATAATGAAAGCTTGCCTGCATGAAACGGAAAACGAACAATTCCATCAATGTCAACTCAAGCAGCTTTTTCCCTACATAATCACGAGTTTCCTTGGGCAAAACTACTACCTTATCAATAGGGACTCCTGCATTAAGCAAAGAAAAGGGAATTAGTGAGACATTCAACTAAACAGGATGCATAAGGATTTCTCACACAAATAAAGTAATAACAACAACAACAACATGCTTATTATAATAAATTGAAAAACTAATTAAAAGGCAAAGTATAGAAGATGTCTACGATGAGCATTGTAACCTAATTGAGAAGAAGAAAAAACAGATACTCAACAAAAACAAGTGCAGACTAAAAGAATAGCCACACCCTACCAATCCACAGCCATAAAAACACGATACACTACAAAAATCATCCACTAAATACTCCACAAAAAACACCAAAAGTACAAGAATGTGACACTCCCTAGGCACTCCAAACAGATACAGACCCTTATAGGAGTCAACCAGATGCAATAGCAAAAGGACAAAATCCAGAACCCCATATATCACCTAACCATGCAAAAATAGACCCATTCCAAAAATCTACCAAATTTGCCCCTTCAGTTCTTACCTCCCTCTTGTGAAGTTGTGCTTGTTAACACTCTCTTGCCAATTTTCTTCCTTCAACTTGCTGATCAAAAAAAAAAAAAAACTTCCTCCACCTCTTTCTCAAAATTCTTTTGGCCTCTATTCCTATTAGCCATAGGCTTAACTTATGATACCCAGATACCTATACATGTCTAGCATACCAGTATTTGGTGCTAGACAGCATTAATACTTCCAAATGCATTTTATTGCATTAAAACTTCTAAAATATGTAAAATGGGGCTGTTTTTCTTAGGTGGAGAAGAGTTTGTGAGGAAGGAATTTAGGGAAGTGGAGGAGGAAGAGGCTAAGAAAGAAGAGAGGAAGAGGAATGAAGAAGTAAAATCCTTCATTCAGGAGAGAGCTGAGAAAACAAAGAAAAAAAAAAAGAGAAATGAGAGGAAATCTGAGAATTTGTATCTGGATTGTGAGAGGTTTAAGAAAGGAAAAAAATAAGGGGGGTGGTCAAGAACTTTGTTAGGAACTACGAAACTGAGCCATTGATGTTACAAGGATCAAAGCTGGATTGGAGAATTATCAATGAAATTGGGGATTCAAGGAATAGAGATTGGATGGAATCGGAATTTGAGGGATTATCAGGGGCCTTTTGATGTTATGGGTCGCTGAGATATTGAGCAAGGTTGATTTTTCCAAAGGAGTTGCTTAATTTCAGTGGTGCCGGAGCATGTAGGTTCAAAGACAAAAGTGATGGCTTCATCCGGGATAATCAAAACAAAATTCTTTGGAGCTGCATTCCCTTTGCTGTTTGTTGGGAGTTGTAGAAGGAAAGAAATAGAAGAATTTTTTAGAAGGTGAAGAGCAAGGGAAAAATAGTGGCGATCATCAGCTCAAGGCTTGTAGATTGGGTTTTTTCCTCCAAACCTTTTGGCTGCAAATGGGAAGATTTTGGTTCAAATTTTGGGTCTTTTCTGTCGGTTTATCTTGTGAAGTTTGAGTTTGAGGGATTCCAGTTTTTGGGTGGTGACTCCTTGTCACCCTAGACAATTATACCTTTTTTCATTATGTTAAAGTGTGCCGAATAGGGGTAGTTTAGTCTTCTTATGTTTGTTAAGTAGCTTGCTTATGTGGCAGTGTTATTAGAGTCACTCTGCCCCACACTTAAGTAAGGGCATTTTTGTCTTTGTAAAGATTATTAGAGTCTAATATAGATTAAGGGGGTCGATTGTATGTGTAATCCATCAGATTTCGAYAGACCCTTCTTCTTCTTCTTCTCTTCCTGGTTCAGACTACTGTAGCACCAGTCGAAACACATTAATAAATTTTCTTTTGTATTTATCTACAAAAAAAATATGTAAAATGGTATGTTTTAACAAATTATACTACAAAAAAGATTTATACATGTTAAGAAATGTAATTAAATTTGACAAGTCTTGAAATATGACATTTAGGTTCAAAAGTTAGATATAGACACATGAAATAAACATATTACATTGGATATCCGTATCCACATCCATGTCCAGGATCTTGGAAGAGGCATATCCCCATTTCCTGCATTTGTATCCATGTCCATATCTAGGAATCATAGCGCTCAATTCAATAGCATCCCATTGGAGCATATCCCAACCATCCTTAGATGGCCTTCAAGATCAATCTGATTTCTTTCTTAGTGAGAAACCTTCTCTCTTTTTCAATAAAGTAAGAAAACCTCATTGGTCTATGCTTGCCTCACCTTGCACCTCATCCTCCCCATCTGTCATTGGGAAGTTCCCGTAAGTTATTTTCTTGACTCCCAAGATCATAATATGATCCTAGAGGGAAAAAAATCATCAACCCCTCATCCATGCCCTTGCCATTCATACCCTTGTCACCTAAGGTTCAAAGTATCGATACGCCTCTGTGTATCGGCAGAGGCGTATCGGTACTTAGATAAAAGTGAAAATGGCTTTTTTTTAGTTTTTTTTTCAAAATTTGGTTCTTGGGAAGATATTTTTACATATTTTTTATTAAAAAAAGAGTGGGGTCCCGAAAGACCCCAAAAGATATGATACGATACGCCCAATCGATACTTTGAACCTTGTTGTCACCTACCAAGACCCACCCAACTTTCCTACCCCAAGTCAGAATACCTTCCTGCATAGACCTTGGAACCACAGGCAGTTCCAGTGCTAAAGCTCTCAAATCCTGGAAAATAAATTCATTTGCACATTTTGGACACTGACCAAATTAATGCCATCATACTGAGATCCACCACCTGTAGAAACAATGTGCCCTCAAGAACAGCCTTGAGCTATCAATAACTAACAGAACGGTGAAATTAAGTGAGTAAAATTGCAAATCGACCTTTTCATATGAATTCCCAATATCAGCCTCGCCATTGCTAAGCAATGAAACAAAACCAAAACTATGCCACTTAGATTAGCCACTGGAGAAAGAATTATTAGTACATGCTACAAGATCAACACTAAGGCAATGAGGTGAAATGAGACAACTAATGTAATTAATGTCTCTATGAATCCAATTAGTTCAATTTTTCAATTGCTATCAGGTATCCTTCTGTTTTGAGAATGACGGTTTGCAGTATACTCTGTGATCAGCACCAACCCAAAGGCAACCTGATATGGGCAAACCAGTTGTCCATCTTATTGAAAAAACAAAGCCTGAAGAAGCAGCAAAAGAAGAGTTGGTTGTGAGATATCTCTCGGAGTCCTTTATTTTCTTTTATGTTCATTTAAAATCGTGCATGTTCTTACTAAGCATATTTGGTCATCCAGATATTATTTAAACCTCAGGTAATTTGTCATGTAAATATTAAGGGTATTTGCTTCAAGTTAGTCTTGTCAAAACATCACCTTGGGGGTGCATGGGCAAAAAGATATTTTCTTTAGTTGCCTTATTTGGGAGCTTCTATATTCTGAAATTGGTAACTGCCTATTCATAAGGTCATCACTAAGCAACAACTTACCTAGGCATGTCAAATGACAAAAATGAGTGCATGTTCTTTTTATTGAGAGCATTGAGAAATTGGTAACTGCCTATTCATAAGGCCACCACTTTCTTCTCTCTCTTTTTTTTTAATACTAGTAAGTGTATACATGCTTTGCACGTCACAATTTTTGAGGATGATGATAATAGTAAATAATATATTTCCAAAATTTTCTACAACTTTTTTATATTTCTATGTCTATAAAAATTATTCTTATCTATACACTTATTTTTGTTTAATATGATGAATATTCGATATTAGAGATGTGTCTAAATGTTTTCTACAATTTTTTTTGTATTTTTTATACTTTTGTGTGTTTTCATACTTTCTTAATTTTTATTATTATTTAATTATGACATCAAGGGTTTACACATTTGACCCAAAAGGTTGAATGTTTTACTCGAAAATAACTCCATTTTGGTTGATTTTAAATTTTATCGTATTTCTATCATCAATAAAAAAACAATTATTCTTTGTCGCACTTTTTTTAATATGATCAATTAATATAATATTCAATGAAAGAATGGGAGTTAATACCCTAAATATAAGATTTAATTGAGGGAATTGAATGAGGAAAAATGTAGTAGTTCAAATTACATTTTGTGCCCTCACAATTAGGCCAAATAGCAAAATAGGGATATTCTAGTTTAGAATAGGATTCAATGAATGTTAATGGGAGCTAATATCTTAGACATAAGACTTAATTAGAGGGATTTGAATGAGGGGAAAAGTAGTTGTACAAATTACATTTCTGTCCTTATAATGAGAGAGAGATCAAATTCAAAAATTGGGGTATTTTGGTCAAACAAAAGTTTCACACTTTTAATTTTAGTATAGATGTAAAGGGGAATATATATAAAAAAGAAATGGAAAGCAAGACACCCTCAATCATAATTTACATGGATCCACTCTGAAAAATATAAAACAAAAAGTAAAGTTCAATGAGTTCGATACAAAAGAAACTAAAAATGAAACTGAAAAGTTGGTATAAAAGATGATCTGCTCCCAATGATTACAGAAATGCTGATATTTGAGGCCTTCCAACTTCTTGACATTACTTGACCACAAAATCAAAGTTCTCTCAACCTTCCCCATGACACAATCCTTAGTGGCCTTTTTGCTGTGAAAAAATCTGCTATTGCATTCTCTCTGCACCAACCAACAAATGACAGAGGGAACCAATATCCATAAAGTAATGAACTTAACCTACCCATTGTTTCTTGAACAGTTTCAAGAAATGAATAAACATCTCAAGACTAACAGCAGTGAATCAGTAAGGGCCTGTTTGGTTCGCGGGAATAGGGGTCTGGAATCGGAATCATAATGGGCCATTCTGATTTCAACTGTTTGGTTGGTGGAATTGGAACGGCATTCCCCCATTTGAGGGAATGGCCATTCCCTCCCCCTCCCTTGGTAATGAAATCCCATTCCAGCTTATTTCAGTTCCCATTCTGATTCCTGTCTGAACCAAACAGACTATAGGAATAGACCACTCTGGTTCCAACTGTGAACCAAAGGGACCCTAAGTGATGAACTGGTTCTGGTTCATGATCACATAAGCAGTGAAAGGTATTCTTGATTCTTTTTCCATGGGACAGATTCTCTGTCCCTTTTGAGTTTTGATAGCAGAAGACCAATGGTGAGAATTAAGGACATAAGCACCTGCAGATCCATTTCCATGGGACAGGCTTCCTTCTCTCCACTATTAAGGAGTCATAATAAGATTTCACTGAAGACAAGGAGACCACACAATATGATCTCCTAAGACATCTTAACACTTATCTTAGCATCCTTCATCCTTGTTATATGATAGACTGAAGAGACACTAGGGAAGGTATCATACAAATACCCTGTACCACACAAAATATCCTTCCAAAATTTTGTGCTCAACATTACCAACCTTGAGAGAAGATTTTCAAGGTTTTGCTTAAAACAAGAGGGACAAATTTAAGAGTTTGAACTTTGAACCTTGAGGAGTGAGGAGGAAAAGGAGAAAGTTTTAATTCAGAGAATTAGCCCTTCAATCAAGAGTTATTTGCTCATTTCCCTTTTTCTTCTGTTGACTTGAGGAAACAGAAGACTGGTTTGAGGTTCTTGAGCCCATATTTGCTAGTAGCTAAGGTCAGAGTTATTTGTCCATTCCCCTCAGGGAACAAGGGATGGTTAGCATTATTTGTTCACTTTCCCTTGTCTCTAGCATCTTAATAACTATTACCCATTTTTTCTTATGTTGTTATGTCTTTCTCAGTTTTCTTGTGTTCAGCACAACAGGGCTTTTTCCTTTCCATTTCAATATATTACTCTTTGTCACTCTATATTCTCTCTCACATTCAGCAGAACAGAACAGGAAAGTTTCTCCTTAGACATTTCAGCAGATTCAGCCTTCTCACTTGATCAGCTTCCTATTTCAATACAACTATGCTACTTAGTTTGTTGGTTAGTAAAGTTAAACTATGGAAACCATCTAACTCATTAAAAAAACGAAAAAAAAAACTTGGGAAACAATATAAAAATGTATAGGTCATTTTTAGGTCAAAATTCATCACATACATGGCAACTAGGTGACAAGTTGCTTCTACTTCTAGTCTTCTAGTCACCTAATCTTGTCTCTAGCATCTTAATAACTATTGCCCAGATGTTTTTTTCTCCTGTTTTAGTAGTTTAAATTAGAAGTAACAGAAAGTTACTATTTTTTTTCTTTTCTCTATGCTTTAAGGACAGTAGCTATGAAACTCCATGACAGCATCAATGGCAATCAGTTTCTGCAAAAATTTAATGAAATTCATAACAATAAAAGGTTTCCTTATTAGAAGTCACCCCAATTAGTTGGGATTAAGGCTGACTTGAATTGAATAAGTAGAGGTCTTGAAGAATTTGGATATACCATGATTGACAAGATAATAACTTTACATGTAAATCAAGTAATTCCTTAACAACCATACCAGAGACAAGTTCCGTTGTTAAGACTCTTTTACTTGAAAGATCATCAATGACCATAGGAACATAGAAGCCTTCGATGTTGGATAGCAGTTCACAGAATCGGTTTTGATTTGTCGCCTCCAACTTGTAGTCACATTCTCGAGATAGTTCCTCCTTTGCCACCTATAATTCCAGAAAGAGCATTATTATAGATCTACAACGTAATTATATAATTTTCCATTTAGCTGGGAAGGAATGAAGGATCAAAAAGAGACACTAGGTGTAGTAGAAATTTAGCATGTTATCAGGATTAGGGAAAATGACAAAGACATAGATGCACAATGGTCTGTTTCCAGTTTTATGGGAAAAAAGTATAATGTGCTACAATCACCATAAAACAGTATGGACAAAGCTGATGGAACATATAGAAAGAAAAGAATCATTATGCATTTCTTGCATTTTGAAGGCTCTTACGTGAAACACAAAAGAAACTACAGTTAACCAGTATTTACCTTCATAGCTCTATCTAGATAAAGCCCTTTTGGAATAAGATTTGTATAGTCCAAAAGCAACCTCACATTCTCAATATCACTTTCGATGCTATCAGCAACACCCGGGTATTGTATTTTCATTGCAACCTGCAAACCATCCCTTGTGACAGCACGGTGGACCTGATCATTGTTGTATAATAGCAAAAACCAGAAAAGATAAGGAACAAACAAATGCTACTTAGTACTACAGAATGACCTTAAAACATAATACGATTTAAAAGAGTTCTAAAACTTTCACCAATCAATATATTTTGCAGTTAATACAAGTGAAAAGGAAACATATAGTGTGAATTTAGTATTAAGTGCCTTACAAAGACATTTCAATATTAAAGATTTCAATTGAAAATCCTGTTCGAGATCCTGATGCAGAAGCAATGCTTTCAGACTGACCAAGGATTAAACTTAACATGCAGATGAAGAAATCAAATGATAGTTAACTTTTTGGGGAACAAAATATCATATTTTCTCATGCTTGATACCATTCACTTTTAACTACCAAGAGTCAAACATATTAACAGCCGAACAGAGGAGAAGAGAGATAGGAGAAGAGAAGAGGAAGAGAGGAGAGAAGAGAAGAGAGAGATTTGGAGTCTGCTACAGTGCCGGCGGTGCCAGCTTATATTAATATATATAAGGCGACATAATTAGAAGGGAAAGGACCCTTATGTCCCTACTTAAGTTACAGCATAAAAAACAAAAGAAAAAACTGCTTTAATTTGTCCAAACGGACCCTAACTCAGCATAATACAAACATAATAAATAAAGTTAACATTCCAACACTCCCCCTCAAGTTGGGACATGGATGTCAATCATGCCCAACTTGTCACACAAATTATTATGCCGCACGTGTTGAAGGCCCTTGGTGAAGATGTCTACAAGTTGTTCCTCTGAACTAACATAAGGAATGCACACTTCTCCGCTCACAAGGTTTTCTCTAATAAAATGCTTGTCCACTTCAATATGTTTTGTTCTATCATGGAGGACTGGGTTAGCAGCAATGTTGATAGCAGCCTTGTTGTCACAGTAAAGTGACATAGGTTTGTTAACTGCAAAACCCAACTCTCCTAACAATTTTTTATCCACATCATTTCAGCAACTCCATGAGACATGGCTCTGTATTCTGCCTCAACACTAGATCTAGCCATCACACTTTGCTTCTTATTTCTCCAGGTGACTAGGTTTCCTCCCACAAAGGTACAATACCCACTGGTAGATTTTCTGTCATCGATTGCCCCTGTCCAATCAGCATCTGTATACACCTCCACTTTCAAATGCCCATGGTTTTGGAAAAGCAAACCAGCTCCTGGGAACTTCTTGAGGTATCTAAGGATTCCTCCTGCAGCTTCAAAGTGAGTTGTCTTAGGATTATGCATGAACTGACTAAGAACACCCACTGCATAGGCAATATCAAGTCTGGTCATAGACAAATATAAGAATCTCCCTACAAGTCTCTGCAACTTCTTTACATCTTTCAAACACTCCCCCTGACTGTCTCCTAGCTAATGGTTGGGTTCAATGGGTGAATCAATCGGTTTCACTCCCAACTTGCCTGTATCCTCTAATAGATCTAGTACATATTTTCTTTGGGAAATAAAAATGCCCCTTTTTGAGCGGGAAACTTCAGTTCCAAGAAAATAATGTAAGGGGCCTAGATCTTTCACCTCAAATTGAGTGGCTAGGAATTTCTTCAGCTTCTATATTTCAGTCTTCCAGTCTCCTGTGATTACTATGTTATCAACATAGACAATTAAAGCTGCAATTTTCCCTTCACCTTTTTCCACAAATAAAGTATGATCTAACTGGCATTGTTTGAATCCCATCTGTTGCACTGCTAAATGAAACCTACTAAACCAGGCCCGAGGTGATTGCTTCAACTCATATATTTCTTCTGACTCTGCTGGGTTGGCTTCTTACTTGGATCAGACCTCTTACTCAATTCCTGAGCCCGTTTCGGCTTGCCATGAAGATCCCAACATGTGTCTCTAGTGTGCCTGGACTTTTGACAGTGAGTGCACCAAAGTTTGTCTTTGTCATCCACTCTCTTCTGTGAATCTCCCTTTTTAAAAGAACCTCTAACATTTGTACTTGTACCCCCTCGGACAACTAGTGCAATCGGTTCCCCTTCTGTACAATTCATCACACTTCTTCTGCTCTCTTCAGATTGAACTAGGACATAAACTTCTTGGACTAAAGGTAGGTTCTTACTTCCTAAGATTTGTACCCTCATGGATTTGTATGTAGGATTCAGCCCCAAAAGAAAGGTAAATACCCGTTGCTGGGAAACAAGTGATTTGTAGGCCTTTGCATCCTCATCGCACTTCCAATTCACATTCTGATAATGATCTTGTTCCTTCCAAATTGATGTCAAGTCTGAATAGTACACCGAGAGACTCCTCTCCCCTTGGTTGCAAGTGGAGGATTCTGCTTGTAATTGATATATCTTTGCATAGTGTCTCTGTTCTGAATAGGTAGATTTTGCTTGTTCCCCTATTTCACAAGCTGTTTCAGCCCACATAAAGGTCTTCCTTACTTGTGGCAGCATGGAAACCAAGAGCCATAATATCATCATGCTATTTTCTTGGTCCCATCTGTCATGTTCAGCACTACCAATCTTTGGTTCCTTGATTTTACCATTAATATA